TCTTGACATATCTTATGTATCTTTTTTTTTTTTTTTTGAGGACCCAACAAGCCAAATAATCTCTGCATATCCAAGTATTCTTCTGGATAATAATGTGATCCTTGGAGCTCAACAGCACAATCTGTGATGCTGAAAAAACAGTAGACAAGTTTTCCTGATGACTGCAAAGCAACCGAAAAAAAAATACACAGAAAACAACAAATAATCGTAGCTATTTCTATAAGAGCAACTCATACAGCGCCTTCCATCCAAAGACTGCAGAATGGCAGGAGGATGATAGGCTAGTGGTGTGGTCTCCTATTCCCATGTTCTTCAGCTAGTTCTGACTTCTGGCTTTATGTAGTGCATCACTGTGACATAGAAACCCAAATGGAGGTTACACAGAATAATCACACATCTTCCAGGGCCCAAAATAATAACAAAAACATCCAGTGATGCAATATCAACAGCCAGGATAGATGTGAACAAGTATTGGCTGAGTCATACTAAGCTGAAAGGGGATTTGTGTGACTGAGGAAGACAGGCGTGAGGTTGGTGAGGAATTATAACAAACTGAAGGAATTGCTCTTGGCACTTGACAGGCACTTAAGCACCAATTAGAAGTGACATCTTTAACTTAATATGGCAAAGCCACATCATATCCACTAGTATGGGTAAAGTATTACATATAAAACAGCTGGATGAAAGTGTAAACAAAATATTTAGCTTATTTTGTAAGGTCTGTCCAGAGCTAAATCAGCTAAAGCTCAGCTAAACTGGCTTCTGCTATGTGTTGTTTCTTCTGCCATCTCAGTATCTATTTATGCCAAGCCCCTGAACTTTGGAAAAATGAAGACAAAATCAAAAATTCATGTCTAAAAACCAAACAAATAAATATCCAGTCTTCTTTGGGCCAAATACAAACCACCACTTTGAGCAGTGATTGATGCATGAGAGATATTGTTCAGTGCATTAGTGTCAGAAAATACTCAGTTAAGAGGGATTCCTTGCCATGCCATGCTTACACAAAGGTCGAAGGCTTGGGACCTGAGGAGAGGGAGCCTGGGGAGCTGAGCAAGGCAGAATGCAGCAGTACCAGTGTGAGAATAAAGGCTCGGCTTGTCAAGGTTTCTAGTTCTGGTTTGCCTCTCAGCAGTGTATTTAACAGATACTGAGAGCGAGACTAACAAATATTTAACAAATACTGAGAGCAAGACTAACAAACATTTATGGATACCTTCTCTGTTCAGAACTTCACTCCCTCCTCTCAGCCCAGATCCATGGTAGCACACTGCATTTCTCCCCAGGCATTAGTGAGGATGACAAGAAATGTTTGTCCCACAGGGATGCAGGAGGCATCACACATCTGGGACCCCATGGAAGTTCAAGCAGGCCCAAGGTTTTTTGCAGCTCACTAGGGCTACTTCCATAGGGACTCTGGTGATGTCAGGACAGAGACAGGCCAAGATAAAGTTTCTCATCTATCCCACTCCAGAGACAGCAAGGAAAGGATTATGGGGAAGGGAGTCCTGGTCAGAGTGCCACCATCCACTAAGGCATGACCTGGATCAATTCCTTGGGTTATCTCTGAGTGCCACAGTGTGTAATCCTCAGGTTGCTTCTTTTTAAACTGTTGAACAAGGAATGGCTTCATTTTCCCCCTAAAAAGCTTGCTCTGAGCTACCACTGGCCACTTCAGACAGATACCTTCCAGGTAAAAACAGCAATGCATTGCACAGAATGCCTTATCTCCACTATTCCTGCTAGGCAGAACTTGAGAAGATAATAAGAAAAAAAAAATCAATTTTAAAGCAATTTAATATTTAATTTGAGGATGAACATAAGTTACTTAAGTGGGCAAAATACATAACGCACCTATATGTTGTATAAACAATTGGGGAAGTAAATAGTACTGAGCACCAACAGGTTTACTGACAGAAGATTAGTATTCAGTGTATAACTGATGCTGTGAAAGCAAAATTGCAGGTTAGCACATAAATACATACCAGCATTTATAATACAATTCAATACATTATCATGTGGTATAATATCTATCATGAAACCCCATAGTATCACACAACTGAATGATGAACCATGCTGATAAAAGGAGGATACTCCACGTAGGTGGTGATAATATACAGCAACTGTATTTTCCATATACTTCATGTAATTGCAGTAAGTTTATGCTAGAAAATCTTGTAAAAGTAAAATTTGTGCTGGGATACTGGCTTTCTGTACTCCAAACTTTACAAGCCTGAACTTCATTACTATGAGTCTGAAGGCCTGGTGCTAAATGGACCCTGAAAACTGTTATAATCTGACAAGAAAAATAATAATAATAATAATATTCTCAATTATTTTTAACCACAAATTGCAAAAAGCACTGAGCTTTACATTACAATACAAAGGAGTGAAGGTGTTTGGGAGGAGGCCACTCAAATATACATGGTCATTCAAACCCCAAGAAAAGTAACAAGTGAGTAACAGGGTTTTTACTTTTCTGTTTTCTAACTCATTTGTGGATATGGTGTTTACATACGTGGGAAGGAAAGCTAGAGAAAAGTGGAGGAATTAATGCAAATCAAAGCATACTTGCTAAAGCAGAACATCTTGAAGGCTCAGAGGCTAAGTTATACAGCAGTAGGTGTCATTCTGGTTAGAGTTCAGGGTCAATGAGCTCCTCCTCTGCAAACTCAGAGAGCAGAAATTGTGCTAAGAAAGAAAGTAGCTGCACTCTAAAATCTGGCATAAAGCATCTAGAGCAGAGATAACATTTTACCTTATTTTTCTATCAGCTTGAATGTTGCCCAAGTTTATCAAGTAGAAAAAAAGGATTTTTTTTTTTTTTTTTGAGAAGTTTTGTTTTACAGCACAAACATGGTACAGAAAGGCATTACTATGAACTGCTACCCAGGGGTATATGTTTATATTAAAATGATGAGACCCCAGGATGAAGTAACTAACCAGTGAGTGTGAGAACACCATAATCCACCAAAATGAACAGAAAGTTTCCTGTGGCTTTGAGTGAAGTCTAATCATATCATCACAAGGACTTATTACATTTGCATAATCGCTACACTGAGATTTTTTTTGCATCCAGACCACAAGACAGTACACTAAATCCATCTCAGATTTATTAGGTTTTCAATGCAGATTTTCTGCGTCCCTTTCTCTCTCTCCTTCCCTCTTCTCCATCTTAGAGTAACTGAATGCAAGTCCAAGGGGAACAAAGGTACCAGGTGAGCAATGCTTCAAGCCCTATCTTTAAATGTGAACTCCCAAATTGGGCACAATGCTCTTTGCTTCCATGCTGGAATAAGAGATTAAAAAAAAAAAAATGCTCAGATCCAAGTCTTTTTGCTTCATTTGGCTTTGGGTGGGTCTCACAGAGAGAAAGCAGGAACAGACCCAGTGAAGAAGCCAAGCTGCAAAAACCAGACATCTTCAGAGATGTCTGGTAAAGACAAAGATGTTAGGCAAAGACAAACACAAAACTCCCAGGGTGAGACAAGCATAGACCCTTCAGCATCAGCCAGTGCCCAGCTGCTGGGGCTGACATCCAGCACCATGCTCACTCCACAGTACTGTCTCTGTTCCCCAAGCTGCTGTCGCTGCACTGGGCTGCTTGCAGTGGTGGCAGCCTTGGGCACTGCTGCATGTCAAGGTGATAAGCACATGCTTTAAGCTAAGGCATGAATTAAGGGACTGGTTGCACATATAAACCAGGAATCCTGGAAGGGGCAAGCTCTCCATGCTGGAGTAGCATTGAAAGAAAAAAAGAAAAAAAAAAAAAAAAGCAATAGTGTCAGGCAGCCTTAAGCTAGGACTCAAGTCAGGCCAGACATCAAGGTTAAAAAGAAGAAACAAGAATGAAACAGAACTTATGAACAGATCGGAGAATAGATCCCTGGCTGCTGCATTACAGACAGACAGGCAGACTCTGGCAAGACCTGGATGAGAGAGTAACCCCCTCTCACCTCACCCTCTGCCTCTTTGTCTCTACATCTGAAAAAGTGAGCACACAATCCCCCTAGACTACAACCGTGCAACTCTAACAACTTAGACTCATTTTCTAAGCTATTTGCATGGCTGTGAACAATTACAGAGAAGGCACATCAACAGAGAACCAAGCCCTGCATCTAAATGTTGATAATGCACTTAATAATAACAGCCCCACTTTCCTGGAAGAGAACATTAAACCTGTTCAAAATACAGTATTTTTTTCCAAATGATAGTATTTCTTCCCTCCTACGTCCTATCTACCTTAATCATCTGACTCCCACATAACTGGCTCTACTTCAATGACAGTCTCCTCTACTTATTTAAAAGTCATGTTATTTCCACTGCCATCAAAAAGGCATGATTTTCAAGTGAAGTTATTAAGTTTCCAATACAAGGATCAATGTGTGGGTGCTACTAAAGTAGACTTTTAGCAAAGAAAAAGAGATTCCCTCCTTTCTAACAGAGGGTTGAGACTTGCTAGGAGAAAAGAAGCTGTCTTTTATTATGATGTTTTGGCTGTCTCCAAAGAAGAGAAATCTGCATCCCATTGTCAGCCCAGTGACCTAGTCCTGGTTACAGCAGAAAGAAACAGAAGCCTTTTCCTCTGAGGATGAAGAACAGAAAAATACTGCATTGTTTTAACCAGCTTGCTTACCTCCGAAGCCTTCCAGCCTAAACATTAAAGATGTTGGGCAAAGCACAAGCCCAGCTTTCTTCTGGAGGCTCCATAAGACTCTCCCTTCTGCCTGTATGCAAACCAGAGTCCATGTGAGCCTGATCTGTCAAAGCTAAGAGCAATTAGGTCTGACCCACATGTTTGATTCCCACCCAGATACTATGTTATTCATATGGGGCACAGGAAATTTATTTTAGAATAAGGTCTGAGGAAGCAGAAGTGAAAAATCTCTTCAGTTCTGACCTACAGCTTTTCACCTCAAGCTTTGTATCTGTGCTGACAGCATCATGGACTTTATTCTACTTTACTGAATCATAACCCGCCCCCATGTGTAAGTACAGACTTCATCAAAAGATACCAATTTATTAATTTTGTGACACTGATCTGAACTGAGAGCTGGGAAATTAATCTCAGACCAATTATGTGTTTTGCAAGAGTTTCGGCTTCTTTTCCAAGCAGCTCTTTCAGCAGCCATCAAATCACCCAAGATCTTCATTTGCTGAATCCGACCTTCCTGAAGTTTCACTTCATTAGCTGCCTGTTCCACCAGATCTTTCACCTCTGCTCAGTCCCTCTGAATTCAGCAAGATGAGAAGACCGAGGGACATTCCAGCTCCTACAATAAGAAAGGTTTATGAAAACTGGATTATGCAGCACCTATACAATTAATTAATGAAATCTTCCAGGTTTGGTATTAAAACTTCTTTGTTTCAAAACCTGTCAGAGACCCTTAGTCAAATTACAGCCTTCATTTATCTCAAGATTACACATGACAATGTGCCAGTTTGACAGGCAGGCATCTGTCATTCTCTAACAAGGAGACAAAAAGAAAAGAATAGACAGCAGAAAAAATAAATAAGTTTTCTTTTCTCCCCCACTGTCCTCCCTTAGGGCGGATTCACCTCACAAAGCACAGATACACATTCACCTCAGGCTTACCTGAGCTGATCACCTCAGAATGCTGAATCATACAATTGGTAGCAGGAAAGTTACCAACACCAGGACCACAATGGCTTAGGACACAGATAAGGCATAAGCATCTTGCCGGAACATGTCAAACGTGCTCTGCTCACACTGATGTGAACAGTTCAAACTTTCTCCAGCTACTGTTATGCACATTTTAAGTTGTGTTCTGGTGCAGACAGCCTAAAGATACATCCTGAAAATCACATCTCTCCATGCTGCCAAAAGCAATGAGTTTTAGACTTACATGTTCTGGAATCAAATCTACTTTCTCAAGTTCTCCATGGTATATTGAGAAGCTATCCTTATCCACAAGGTAGAAAGGGACATGCCTGCTCCCATACCTGGCACTTCTATACAGCTTCAGTTTTCCACTGCACAGCATTTTTTGTTCAGTCTGAATGCTTTCTATGGTGCTTCTGCATGGCAGTCCTTCAGAAAAGTGCAGCATAGCAGCATTCCTTGTGTTAGCCTAGAGATTTAGTCCCTTCCAGAGCACCAAAGCCTTATGCAAAAAAAAAAAAAGGATCAGCCCACAACCTCACCTGCTTAGATGGTCATAACCCCTGAGGGCTTGTCCCACTGATCCACCCACTTTGTTCACAGGTGGCCCAACTGATTGACACTCTGCTTCTTCACATGTGTTAAAATAGGAAGAGAAAAGGCAAATCAGACCTGCCTTTTCATCCTGTCCCCAGCAATGCATGTACCCTGAAAAAAAAAATGTTCTTGACCACTTAAGTTGTTATTCTCTCCTTCAGATATTCCAATGTCGTCTCCTTTCCCACAGTCCCTTCCTGACTGCCCTGAGAAACAACAGCCCTTTTGTAAGTGATGCTTTTCCCAGGAAGAAGTGTTCCCTGACGATCTCATTACTCTCTACCCAGGGAGCTCATTTTTGTCCCATTCTCAGACAGATCCCTGTTGCTGTGATGTCTACGCTGCAGATGTTGTACAGCACTACTGAAATGTATCAGAAGTGGTCATTCCCATCCCTGCATCAAAAGAAGAATGTCAGATGTGATGGCTGCTATTCTGAATTTGTATTAAAAAGATAAAGCCCAAAATGTTAGTCTTGCATTTCAGATAAAAACTACTGAGTTTTAGAAACATATTTAGTTGTTGTTGCAGTTTATTCCCTAGTCATTTACTTCTGTTAAAACAGAAAAGTTCTACTTTGACCACCCTAACTCACCTTGGAAGCAGTCCACAATTATTCTGGTCTGTGGTAAAGAGCATCGTGAACATAAAAACTAGTTTTTATTCTTGCTGTACAGACCAAATGACAGTTAAGATCAGCATTCTGCATGCATCGGACCTCATGCTTTTATGCCTTGCTAGATACCCTTGCATTGCTCAGGCAGGAGATGAAGAAGGGCTATACAGGCCTAAAGTCAAGTCTGGAGGGTGGTGCAGAACCAGCAGCATGATGTTTAACAGGAAGGGACAGTGCACAAATTGATTTCTTTGTGACATATTCTGCTGTCTACAGGACAAACACAACATGAAAGACTCATCTGGTGTCCACACAGCTATGTTCAGTAAGTACACACAATGTGCAAGGCCCAGGCAGATGTATCAGATGACATGCAGGCAGCATTTGTAGGACAAAGAGAACCATTGGAGGGCTCATGGTCATTTTAGAGGAGACAATGCTATTCCTGTTCATCATAAGCTTCAGGCTGTTGATTGCCTCAGAAATATGTGTGAGGACAGGCGAGGATATTAGGCTTCATAATGCCTGCCTTAGTCTCTGCTGCATTTACCTGAAGTGGAGGAGAACAAACAGTCATGCTTTAGACCTGTTCACATCTCTAGCACTGGACTAATTTCAATGAGATATTCCAAGCTGGATCTTTGTAGGTGTCTTCCAACTGAACTATTCTATTCTATTCTATTCTATTCTATTCTATTCTATTCTATTCTATTCTATTCATGAAAAATCTGAAACAGCAACCTTCTCCTCATGTGTGGGAAGCACACAGACAAGTGCTTGTCTAGTCTCCTGTATGAAGTCAGAATTAAGTTGCAGGAAGTTTAAACTGTGGCTATATGATGACACCAAGTTGTAACAGTGACCCGTTATGTTGCCTGTACAGTGCTGTTTCCTTTTGTAGATGCTGTGTTCATGTTGGTTTACCACGGGATTGTATTCTCATCAGAAGGCTGAAGCAGACAGCAGCCCTCTCCATGGAGTCAGTCTTTGTTTCTGTGTCTATTCCTGGCTTGGAGTCAGACTGACTTAAGAGAGCAGATTAAAACTGGCCAGATAGAGTTATTACTGCTCCCTGCCAGCCTCCTCTTCTTTCTGACAAACATTATCACAGTTGGGGCTGTTTTAATGGACACCATCACTGCTGCACCCTGTGGTTTTCAAGGGTCTTTACAAAAACCTTCCAAAAACCCTGGCTTGAATCATGTAAGCACAGAGTTAGTACGTAGGTGCATTGCAGGATCTGGGTAGGTGGTGCAACCCACAGCACTATCCTTTAGACTCCCCTGTGACTGTGCAGTGGATGTGTTGGTGCACACACACACCCCACCCCAGTCAGCATCACCTCAGAGCAGCTGGTGCCTAACTCAGTACAGTGTGCACCAAACAGCTATGTGCCCGTAGGTGTACCTCATGAAAAAAAAAAACTATATATATATATATATGTGTGTGTGTGTGTGTGTGTGTGTGTATATATATATGCTTTGTCAGCACAACTAAGAGAAAGAATTAGAATTGAAAAAAAAATAATTTATTCCTTGACGTTTTTCCTATTTTCTTCCAAATAAGCAGTCAAAAGTGGCATGGACACACATGTACTGTTCAGTTGGAGGAACAGCATCATGGCTTCCAATCTTGGGACTATTTGCTCTATCAGTAGCCTCTAAAATCATTTTTTGCAGTCAGCCTACAGCCCCAAGGCAGTAGTCACTCAAGGTCAGTTACCTCTCTTGTTCCATTTCTTCCCCAGAAGTGTTTGTTCTTGATGTACCAGGGCCCAAGGAAGATCCTTTCTGGCTGACCCATATCACTCAGCAGTTCCCAGAGAACCTCCAGTAGCAGAAGAAGACTGCTATAGTGCCCTTTCGCACCACTGAAGCAGTACGATGCAGCATTAACACGTTGAAGGATCTAGTCCATTAACTTTCAAAATTAGCTTACCAAGGGAGATGGAAGCAGTTGTGAGAAAACAAGACATTTAAAGCTCCTTGCAAATACAAACTGTCCTCCTGTAAAGAAAGCATCATATCTCAGCAGTTATATCTGTAGCTTTATCTCTTAAGTATGATAATTTGGAAAGGCTGCAAAGTGAATTTCTCTTTGCAGCTGCCATCTTAATCTCCATCTTTCTCCTGTTAGCAACAGAGCTGCAAGCTACAGCATTATTCAGGAGTTGTGCAGAGTCAGGGCTCTGATTATACACCCTCTTTTGAGATGTTTGCTCACAGCAATTTAGTTCAAGGTACAACAATAACCCAAACAGCAGCAGGCCAGCCTGATCTGTGGCACTGTAGATAGTAGAAAGCTGTTGTGATATTTTTGCTAGGTATCACAAGAGCTCACAAAGTGGAATTATGCCTTTCAGTGGTGCTTAGGGACATGGTTTAGTGATGGGACTTGGTGGGCGAGGTTGGTGGTTGGATCTTGAAGGTCTTTTCCAAACCTAGATGATTCTACCATTCTGTGATATGAATAATCCAAATTATTACATCCTTATTACCTTGGGCTGATTTCCTTTGAAAGAGTTCTTTTGTTGTCCCTTCAAATGTATTACCACACTTGGATTCAGAAGCGTTCATGTGATTCAGCAGTCACATGAAAAAATTGAGAAATTCCCCAAGACCAAGGTTCCTGAATCGCAATGTCATTCCTACAGAGACCTTTAATGTCCATTGCCATGCAGACCTTAATCCACTCCATTCTAAAAGCCAAGAAATACAGCAAGAAGTTACTTTTGATTTTTGTGAAGCTTGGATTGGACCTTCATATTTTTGTTGGCTTTGGACACATCAGTTTGTGGTTGAAAGCCTGTAGAAATGGGACTCCTGATTAGCCCAAAAGGCATATTACAGCTAGAGAGGACTGTATCATATTTCTCTTTCTCATTATCAGTTAGGAATGTGAATGAGATATTAATTGGCCTCTCCTTCCCTCAGGGACATGCATCGACACACAAACAATCTGACCAATTTCACAAAGGGATTTGTTAAATGAAAACCTTCATACTTACTTAACCAAACTTTGAGGAATGCTCCCTGAAATATTGGGCTTGAAACCTGTATTCAGTCATGGGAGCAGCATACGATTAGCTGTGCTTTTATCTCTGTACTGGCATCTGAGATTATCATAGATTTTTTTTTTTTTTTAACATTAGTATGCCTGGTGAAATCAGAGCAACCCTTTTGCTCTGTGATTAATAATGTGTTAAGCCAAGGTTCCAAATTATTTCAACTTTTCAATGGTTATGGGAACATTTACAAGACTGATGGTCGGACCATGTACTGCCAACAGGCTGAAAGAGCTATCATTTATTACAGTGCATTCTTGCAGCCAAAATGTGTAATACAACCCTGGTAAACTGTGCAGAAAAAGAATTATGAGTTGTGCTACAGCATTTTCCCAAATTAGAAATCAAGTGAAGCTTTCTGCACTACAAATGTTTTTGTGTGCGGAGAACAAGTGTGGGGAGAGGGAGGAAATACCATTTACCTTCTCAAAATATGTAAAACCCAAACATTTCTGTGCCATGATGGCATAACAGTTTCGCTCACTGTGTTGGCTGATTTAAACCCATCATAACACACCAGTATTTTTGTGGTGATTTGTTTTTCATTTTCACCATATGCTTATAATAGCCAGATCTATCCATCATTTCCCAGTTATTTTATTGTAACTATGTTTTAACCATCCCAGTGCCTCTCTGGAGTCTGTTAATTGTCTTCTCACTGCTGACAGTTAAATTCTCCTCCCCTCATATAACAGGAGTAATTTTCATTTGATGACAATCAACCTATCTCATTAAGCATTTGAAGGGACTGAGGATTTCCAAGGATTTCCTTGATTTCACACATCAAGGATTTGTTATTTTGGGTATGCAGGAACTCCAAAAATACTGAACCTGGTAGCACCATGCATCTCTGTACATCTGTATGTGTGTGCCTGAGTGTTACAGCCTCATGTTATCACAGCACCCACAGGCAAATTCTCCATTATTCTGATAGTCACAGTTTTTAAATCATGATTAAAAGAAATGGAGGATTCCACTGCACAGACAAAAGAAAAAGGCCAAGGAAGCAAAATCATGAGTCCAGAATTCATGTTCTCTGCCTTGACCCATCCCATTAGCCTTGTGTTCCCAGAACAGGCTCCCCAGGTTTGTCATCTATATCCTTCTCTGTTTAAAGCGAAAGGAAGAAATGATCTTAGGAAAGATTTTGAGTTCCGATGAGACTCTGGAAATGAGCAGAAGTTTGCTTTGTCTTGAAATAACAGGATTTAAAAAAAAAAAAAAAAAAAAAAAAAAAGCTGTTTCAAAATATTAACTCTCCATAAAAACTGCATCAGTGCTTCAGGCCAAAAGAATCCTCCTGGTTCACATCAAAAGGACAAGAGATAGCCTTCATGCACCCAGATGGCAGTCAAAATGTGTGTATCCTCACTACAGTAGTATTTCTTTGCTACACACCTTCTATGAGGCCTTGTGGCAAGTCACCACTGTTCTCTGCCTCGGTTTCCCCATTGTTTACTTAAAAAAAAAAAAAAAAAAAAAAAAAAAAAGCAGTAATCTTTCCCTGCCTTTGAGACTTTCAGATAAAAAGCCATGAGAAATAAGAGCCAAACATTACTACTATTATCATTTCTGAGCCTCAGTAATTCATTCCCTGCTGGGCCTCTGGATTCTGAAGTAAACTGATTGGTATAATACATTCTTTTCGTGTATTATTGTATTTGCATTGACCTCCATTTCCAGTAAAATAAGAGTAAAATGTAATTTAAAAATTGATAGGAAACACAGGAAGCTAGTAATCTTGTTTGTACCAAACAAATAGAAGATAATGTTCTATACTCATAGGCACATAGCATGTGGCAGTTCTGTAGTCACTTCTTAAGGCAGTGTGTAACATCAGGGTTTGGGTTTAGGGGGTTCTGCCCAAAAATATGTCGATCTCAGATTTACCAGACTGGAGTTCAGACTCAGGAGATGTGGAGCACCCACTCACATCAGGGCCAAGATCTTCAGCACTACTCAGAGAGGCAAGGGGAAGAAGCCAAGGTGGCACCTGCCACCTGTCCCAGGCTGAGTTAGATAATAAAGTGCCTCGTGCAGAGATTTTCTTTCTTTTATCTCTCTGTTAAAAATAAATGAACAAATAAATAAATAAAAACTCTGCCTGGAGTGAGTATGAAGTGAAAGCACTGGTGGTGTGCTTCATTTGGCATCCACTGAAAACTTTTATCATGGAGGGAGAAGAGAGACAGGCTGACTGCATGGCACATGGCTGGTTAGACCCAGCATTCCTCCAATGCTTTCTTGAATTCCCAAACACATGTCCTCTTTGCTAGCCTGCCTCATCTCCAGACTCTTACATTTTTCCTCCTGGGCTTTGTGATTTACATGGTTTGAAAGAAGCACAACTGGCTTTCAAGCCATCCCTGTGCTCCCTTGTCACCCAAGCCTTGTTAACTGGAAGCATAAAGGAGAGGAGTCAGTAACCTTCCAAAGGGAGCATGCCAAATGCTATTTCTCTTTCCCATCCTCGAGGTTAAGTATGCCTTTGGAACTCAGAAGGAGCTGGAGGTTTTTGGCTCACAAACAGGCATCTGCTGTCTGACTTGGGACTTAGCAAGGATCTCATGGATGTGTATACCTGTGGAGATGTGGCTCAGGTTCACAGTACGGAACATCTGTGTCCTGGTGGAAGATGTTTCTAACTTGAACTGCTGTTAACTGAGACTAGAATCTGGATTTGTGTTTTCCATTTGCTGTGGCATACATTTTTTAAACACTCCTGTTAAACACTCATACACAACATTAGCGGCAGAGCTCTTTAGTCAGCAATGCCTGGGTTTAATCTTTCTCCTTTTTACCTCTGAAACTCAGAGCCTGTTCTAGTTTATTCTCTGAGAGGCAGGACATCATCAGAGTGAAGGATGTCCAGTTTTAGCCAAGTGCTCATTATACAAAGCATATATCAATGAAGTGCTCCAAATTAGCAGTGGTCTGGCAGCAGTAATAAAAGCTGCAAGAAAGAGACTGTGTAATTGTGCTTGTCATGAAGAAGAATATAGTCTGCAGCTGGTGCACAGAAATGTTTCAAATCTATATGGGAGTCAGAAGAAAACCGAGTAGGCTACTAACCTTTAGTTCAACCAGAGCCCAGCAAGATACCTCCTCCTACAATACTACATTCCTGTCACAAACGCGCACCATTCTGGTGGCATGTTATGTCCCTGTCCAAATATTTCAAAAGGAACTTCTACAATAATCTCTTGATAATACTTTCAAGGCATTGCTTTTTTTTTTTTTTCTTAGTTTAGATATATGCACACTTCAAAGTCTTTGTGAGCTATCTCTTCTGGTAGAAGAGTGCCACCTCATGACTGCTAGAGAGGAATGAAACAACCCACAAAGGTAAAGCTGAAAGCACTCAAGCGTCCATGGCCAGGAAGGTCTGGAACAGAACATGCCCTGTGTACCCACCAGCTTTCATCTAGCATCACAACACCCTGAGACAAACAATTCTTTGACAATGTACTTTGTGATCATTGTTCCCTGAGAAAAAGCTCAGCTTTTTTGGTTAACACCAAGCCCAGCCTCAATGATAAAAAATAATTCCCCAGTAAAGCTAGACAAAATTATGCAGGCTGTTACACAAGGAGCTTTTTGCTTAAAATGCCCATTCATTATGATTGAAGGCCCCTCTGCAGAATTTCAAGTACCTCTCCTCTGGGGACTGTGCAATTTGGGGTGAGTGCCCTTTTCTCCTTGCTTCTTCACACAGCCCACCCCAAGCCTAGCCACCTCTCTTCAGGCTGATTACTTTTTCTGTACTAATGCAACTGATCTTTCTCACTAGCTCAGATAAATATTGTTTAAATTATAGGGAATTTTGGGGTGTTATGGAGTCATATTAACTCCTTGTTGCTTCTATAAATGAGGTATACAATCCAAAGAAACTCTGAATTTCTCATGCTCCATCAGCAGTTTGAAATATTTGTTCCAAAATCAGACAGCACATAGTCACAGATTGATTTGTCTATCCCTTGCTCAGGAACAGATAGTTTAAATATTTAATAGACATGAACAAGGAAAGGAGCAAAATACCCTTTTGCTGCTTTTGCTTCTTCTTTTTTTTTTTTTCCTTCTAAGTGAATTCAGACATTGAGGAAAGTGCTAGATTGAAAACCCTAGAGTTTGAAGTGTGTTGTTCCTGTTTTTTTTCCCAGAATAGAAATATCAGGAGAGTAGTACCAAAGATTTCCTAAAACCCCAGCTCTACTGCTGCTATTCTCCTTTATTAGACTCATTGCTAGGCAGTAATTAAAGATCTAAATCAGCATCGTTTTTGCCATTTCAAATAAAACCAAAATCAATTAAAACCAAGTGTGGGTTTTTTTTCTAAAATGGTTATTGATCTACTAGGAGGTACATTAATAGCACCTGTTATCAGACAGGATGCCACACAGCTAAAATATGGATACCGATTTTGACATAACTGGAATATTAAACATTGCTTCAGAAGTGAAAGATTTTGCATCTCATTCCCTGAGGCAACCAGTTTTTGCTCAGGCCTGCACTTCAAAATATGCTGCTAAAGTTGACAGATAGACAATATTATTAACCTGAAAGCATCAACTTATCTTAAGTCTCATCCTATGAACTGGGAAAAAAAAAAAAAAAGTCAAAATGCACTTGTTATTCAGTGGGAGGATTTTAACAGCGCAGATGATTTTCTTTGCATAACAGCTAGAAGGCCTGCAAAAGTTCATCAAAAATCTGGGCTACATTAACTTTGGGATTGGCTGATACTTTTGTTACGATAACGATAACAACAGCTGATTCAATAAACGTAATTTAAATTTTAATTAGAGATCGTCATTATGGCAGATGAATTTTTAAGCTCAATGTGTTTAACAGTTTCCCTTTAAAGGATTTTCATAAAGAATTCAACCAGACTCTCTAAATAATAGCACAAACAAAAAGTGTGGATGCTTAAACTCTCTCCTATAATGAAAATGAAAGTACTTAACTCTACTACCTTAAACTATCATTAGAAACTCTAAGAAAATTAACCCAAATATTCATCCTCCTCCTTTTCCTCCTCTTTTTAGTCTTCCTCCTTCTCCTCCTCCTCATCCCAGAGCAGACACGTTAGCTTTGGGCCATGTAGAGTGTGGGGGGCCTTCAGAGAGGACCTCAGCCTTGAGGCCCTTCGGGTCTTACAGTGAAGAAAGTAAAACTATTTTTCAAAGTCTCTGAGCAAAATTTCTCCACATACCAGGGGCTTCACTACCAACAGGTCACAGGCAGGATAATAGAGCTAGAGGCAGGTCCATGCAAAAGCCACCAGAGAGAAGAGAGGAGGAGGTGTTGGCTGAATGAAGTAAGCACAGGTTCAGGGACCAGTGAGGGGCTTGCTTGGTTGCTTGTTTAAAAAAATATATAAATAAATACAGTTTTGCTGTTATTAGCCAGAGCTGGACTAATCCAATTCTCACATACCCCCTTTTCCATCCCCTTTTCATAGGCTGATGTGTGATAAAGGCTGGCCTTCTCAAACAGCAGATATGACAGTATCAGCAATACTGTCAGGATTTAGAGCTTTCTTCTGAATACCACTGAGCAGCTCTGAATCTACACAAGTCCTCTTGGGACTCTTTCCAGTGAAATATAAGTCAAAATTATCATCTCTGAAACTAAGATATTTTTAGAAAACCGATTTCTTCAAGTTGTCTCTCCTAAAAGCAAGTACCACCTACCCATGTTTAGCTTGTTTTCCAGCCCACCTAAAAGGATGCAGTGTTATAAAACCACCAGCTAACCCTACCAACAAATTGTATTGCTTACCAAAAATTCCAAGAGATTTTGGATAGAGCATCAGCCTTTTTTATTATTATTTTTAATGATGCTTTTCCAAACATCACATCACACCAGCATCTGCCTGGCAGAAGCAAGTGCTTTACCCCAAACTCTCTTTCATCTCCTCCTCCTATTTCACAACAGCTAAACCAGGCTTTAGCAATGCCATTAACCACAAACAGCCACTGGAATACTTTGTGGGTGATTCACAGATTTTGTTGTCAAAAAGCTAGTGATCTTCCTTATTTCCTAAATTTTACAGCATACTAAGCTGCATGTTCACACTGTTTTGTCTTTAATCTTGGGTTCACAAACATTTTCACAGTAAAATGTGACATTTTTTATAAAATGCTATGTCAGTAAACTTATTGCAGAGCAAACCTTAATTATTCTGTTCTTTTTATTAAGTAGCATTTTAAGAAGAGAAACACAAGCCATCCAAATGTGCAGACTCAATTTATGCATTTAAGATGTCTACACAGCAAGAGGTGAAAAAGATCACACATGTATTTTAATGAAATTTTTATCTCACAGTCATGGCAGCACAAGTGTGCAGCAGGTACACGCCATTATAGAAAATGTTGGTTTTATTACAAGCGTCATTCTGACGAAAGCTGTTGTTTTGTTTTGTTTTTTTCCCAGACATCCCTTGGCATCATGGTGATGTGGGATTTCACCAATGCCCAGACACGTCTTGGTCTATTGGCAGTCACTGTTACTATTGTGTGTTTAATGCATGTTCCTCAAGGGAGATATGTATGCTATGCATTATGTAGAATAGAGCCAATATAGCTGTCATTTATGTTTTCCTGCAGTAGATGGACTCTGTGCATATGTCTTAAAGGATGCCATCTTAGAATAGCTCTTTCATAATCAATGCTTTTCTCCTTTTATGAGGCCAATTACTTTTAGAGTTTATATTCTCAGCATTTAAGCAGGCAGCCTGTAGAGCATCCAGCTCTGCCTTATGCCACACATAGGCACTGCCCCAGGGACAGTTGCTACAGGTGTGTCTGAGCTATTGCATCTTGCAGTGTTAGCCTGAACGTGTTGGAGAAGAAACAGATCCTGACAAATTTCACAGAAAAGCTAGAGTTTTCAACAAGTCATGGGGTTTAATCAAACTATGAATTTTGAAGTATTAGAGGGTGCATTTTTCTTTCCTTCATTTCCTACCTGGGATTCATATCTGTTCCATTCCCATCTTCTGCCTCCCCAACAAGGGATGGAGAGAGAGGAATAAGCTGCTGAGGTGCTGATCTCATTCAATTTTGGGGTCCATGCAGAGCTGTGAATAACAGGAGCTGTTCTACTGCTTTCTTCCCCAAGATGAACAATGCTCCTTCTTCACTCTTCTGTCATCCAAAACCAGTTTTTCCTATGGCTCTCCAGCCCATCTTGAGGTGAGAGAAAGGGCAGGGGACTCAGAGACCCTGGAGGACAAGTGAATCCCTTTAGCCTCTCCCAGCCTGAGGTCAGGTCATGGGAAGCCATGATGTGGCACAGCATCTCAGCTGGGCAGCCACATCTGCTCCTCTCCTGTCTCTTGTCTGAGATGCTTTTCCCCAGCAGCTCTGAATATAGTGACTAGATTGACCATAAAATAGACCAAGCCCAAAGTGCTTTCAAATACCAAGGTAACCAAATTGGAATATTTGTCTGAACCATTTATTTTCTGAGGTTCTCTGGTATGAGAATTAAAGATGTTGCTTCAGCCTATGGAAAAGAAATAGGAAGGCAAGAGGAGCTCATGCAAAGGCAGTGATTCTTCCTGCATCTGTTATTGAAGCAACCTAGAAAGGCAGCTGGCTAGGCTGGAAACCATAAACAGAGTTATTAGCCTAACTGAACCCCCAGGGGTCTTCCCCACACCCCCTGCTACCTAGGATCCTCTGCCCTGATGGGTCAGGTTGCACCACTTCACAAACAGCCTTGCCAGGATGGAAGCAGCAGCAGGTGGCTCAGCTGGAGCCTGCTGCCTTCACTGCCCGCTCCCTCCTGTTTTGTCAGGAAATTGCAAAGCAAGCTGCCTGCGCACTGTGGTGGAAGAGACAGTCCCATCTGCAGGCCAGAATTCAAGAGGAAGCCCACAGATCAATGGTAATGCATTCTTAAAAGGTCAGGACAGATCTTCTGTTTCATCAGCACTTCGCATTTTGCAAGCAGTCACCAAAGATATAGCTATGCACTGCAGCTTCTTACAAACTTGGTTCTCTTATATCCTTCTCCTGCAGATATCTCTTAGGAGAACTAAGCACACTCATGAGATGATGTCTGAAACACCATTGAAACTATCAATGTATCCCAACACTCAAACACAGAGTAGGGTACAAAATCCTAATTCTTCTTGTTCCAGCTCCACCTAACCAAGTCCCCTGTTCCCAAGGACTCTGAGAGCCAATTTTGAAAAGCGTTTCTCCCTCTGGTCAGACTCTGCATTGTTTGATATATTGAATTTCACAGATTTAGTCGGCAGAAAAATGCAATCATCATCCATTTGAAGAGGCGCAGCTGAAAAAATGATTAAAATTCATACGCATCAGGCAGCTTGATTTGCTGGGCATGGCCTGAATATAAGGCTAAATGAAGGTTAAATATTGGCTGACTAGTAATTGTACTGTCTCTTTGAGAAGCTGTTTATTGAGAATGTATATGGCACTGTAGCTAAAAGTGGCAGCACATTTGAAGATTGAATCAGATAAGCTTTTCTGCTTTCTGCGTGTACCATTTCTCAGACTAACCTACATGCAGTCACAAGGCAAGAAATTAGACACAAAATATCCAGTGAAGGACATTTCATGTACTCAGTGATCCTTGTGGGTCCCTTTCAAATCAGGTTATTCTATGATTCTATAATTCCTGAAAGGAGAAATAATAACTGAATAAGTTAAACATTCCTAACCCATCATTTTCCCATTGGAAATTATCATTTCACTGACACTGAAATCTCCCCTGGGGATAAAAACAATGTGCTTTTTTAGTTTTTGAAAAAGACTAAAATATGATTGTCTTATTCTAGTTCGGATTATACTAATACATCAAAAAAGCCAGAATGAAAACAGAATGCTTTGTCTGACCCAAGATGGACTTTATGTAGAATATAATTCAATATTAACTCCATTTTTCATACTTGTTTTTTGGTTTCAGTTTGTTTAGGAAAAAAAAAAAATAGACTTTGAATGTCAGGAAGTCCCACTGAATTGTAATTACGGTTTGTCATCTGCTTAATTTCCTACACATATTCACCTCTTGTGCAAACATTACCTACTAACATATCCTTTCTCCCATGGGGATGTGATTTGACTGCCACCCTCACCAGTCGGGCCAGCTCACTCCAGGGAGACTTGCAGTTTCTGATGTAGAGTTTGTCCATGGTCTCAACTCCAGCTGTGAGATTTAGACAAAAGCTACCAAAAAGATCTGTGATCATAATTCACATATAGAATTAGATAAAGGTATAAAAATGTAAATAGGAAGATCAGCCTCTTATTCTGATTAAATAAGAAATATGAAAATAGAACTACCATATTACTCAAATAAATTACAGAAGAAAAAAAAATAAGCACTAGTTTATTAAAAATGGGATGAGGGGGAGAAAATAAATAAATAATAAAGAATAAAGTTGATCCCTTATATTTCTGTAGGAAAAAATAATCTCTTCTTCCTCCCCTCCTCTCCCACTCACACACATGCTCACACACAGTGAGCCAGCAGTGGCCATGCTGCAATGTAGCTGGGAGGTGGAGAAGACAAGCACACCATCCCTAACCCACAACACAAGGATGTCACAAATTCCCAGGCCTGCTGAAGCAAAGATGCAT